TCTTTGAATCTTTTCTTTTCTTTTTCTTTATTCTGTTTCTATTTTCTTGTATTTTATAAAAATACACTGTTCACTGCAAGTCTAAATTGGCACATTTCTCATTTTGCTCTCCCAAGGCAGTAACAATATCAATTTTTAAATAACAATATAGCTATAGAAGCTTAACAAACAATTGTAGTAACAAAGAGAAACTAAATATCACTATTAAAAAACTCTGATTATATAAGAAAAACCTAATATTAAAATTCTTAGAAATGAAAAGATACAATATAACTATTAAAGAATATGAGTTTAATATTTTTTTAAAACTTATAATATTAATAAATATTATTACATTATTTAATAAATATTTAAACTTATTATTATTAAAAATAATTTTAATAAATTTATTATTTTTTATTAAATATTAATCAGTATTCAAAAAATAAAACTAAATAAAAATTATATTTAGCTATTTTTATTAAAATAAAATAAAAGATAAAGGTTTTTTTAAATCTATAAAGCTTAAAAAAAATATATATAAATATAAAAAACTTAAAGATCAATTTCAAAAAATCTATAAAAGAAAAAATAAAATTGTAAAACTTAATAAAGAAATCAGATTCAAGATAAAGTTTTTTCTAAATATTGCTTATTTATTATCTATCTAAGATAAAGTTTTTTCTAAACATTGCTTATTTATTACTTATTTAAGATATATTAATATAATTAATCTTAGTTTTTATCTCTTTTTATAAATTATAAAATATGTATTGTTATATATCATTTCTATCTTAGGAAAAAGATAAAGATAGAAAATTAGTAGTAAAGAAATATTTTATATAAATAAATCAATATGGTATGCTAAAGTTCCTAAGAGTATATTAAAATTAGTACAGTTTTGAGATATATAAGGTCAGGCAAAAGAGGTAATAGTAATTTATTTAATAAAGATCAAGTTATTTTATTAATAAAGAGGATATTCAATCTTGCAATTTTAGAAAAATTGAAGGTATTTATATATTGTTATAAAAAAAATATAATGGATAAATGATAAGAAATTATAAGTATAAGTATTATATATTAGATATAAGTAATATATCAAGTATAAAGAGTAAAATAGATTTTTTCTTCTAATAGTATAAGAACTTATGATATTTTTTATTTTGATATTTTTTGAAATAAGAAAGTTTAAATTAATATAAACAAATTATTTTTTCTAATATTTATAGAAATATTAAATTATAATTAATTAGATTTTTTTAAGTGATTTAATTAATTATGTTTTTGATAATTATTAGATTCTATTTAATTAATTGTTATATTTAAGTGCAGGTTTTAATTAATAGTTAGGTTATTAATTAGTTGATCTTGAAAATTAATATGCAAGTCAATTGATAAAAAAATTTTATTAATAGTAAAGTTCCTAATAGTATTACTTCAATACCTGTTTGATTCCAGTTCAATACTTAAATTTAATATAGATTAGTACTATCTTGATATTACTTCAGTATCAGTTCAGTACTTTTCAGAACCTTAATTAATAAAGATGATCTGTAAAAAAAATAATTAATTAATATTTTTAAATTGATAAATTGTTATAAATAAAAATATTTTTTATTTTAGTATTAGTTTATTAATATAAATCATATTTCATAAAATATGTCTATTATAATTTCAATTTTTTGCTAAAATTTTTTGAAGAACTTTATTTTTAAGTTGATTATTCTCAATAAAAATTTTCTAAAATAAATTATAAAAGTTTAAAAAATTATTTAAAAGTTATAAAAACTAAATTTTGAGAATTAATATTTAAATATTTAAGTAAAAAAACTTTTTTAATTGCTTGAAATTATAAACTCCATTTGAATAATTGATAGATTTAAAGAACTTAATTTAATAATATTAATAGTGGAAATTAATTATTAGGTAAAGTAATTGTTAAGAATAAGAATTGTTAGTAATTTGAAGAATTTAGTAAAAAAATAATTTTTTTCTTTTTATTTAAATAGATTATAGATATATAATATTTTTTTTTTCAATAAGAATAATATTAAATTGAAAAAAGTAGTATTTGGTATTAATTTTTTTTGTTAAATATTTGTTTTTATTAAGATATATAAATTTGAGTTTAATTTTGATATAGTTGTTTAAATGTTTTTGAAGTATTTGGGATTTAATATATATAACTTTGAAATTATTTATTGAAATAAAGTTATATATTGTAATAGATACTATATTTAAAAATATATTTATATAATTGTATTTATTTTTAAATGTTATTGTTATAACTATTATATATTATTTTTAATTGCTATTATTGTGATTGTCATATATTATTTTAGATACAGTTGTTGTAATTATTATATATTATTTTAATTATTATTAATATATATAAAAACATATACTTGAAAATATGTTCATATAATTAGAAATTTGAAAGAATAAATTGATTTTAGTTTTTTTAATCAAATATATAATATATTAAAAAAAATTATTAACTTTGTTTTATTAATAAAAAAGCTTTGAAATCTTTTTAGCTTTTAGAATAATAATAAGATTATCTGATTTATTAGATAAAATCTGATTTTTTAAAAGTTTTACAATATTAAAAAGATATTTAATCTGATATTGATTAGGTTCTAAGGGTAACAATAGATTTAATTTTTTGAAACTTGATTGTAAATCAGTTTTTTACTTTATATTCATTTGAATATTTTTTTATTATTTGCAATAGAATAAAGTAATAATAAAAATAAATATTTATTATTATATCTTTATAGATTTGTAGTTGTTTTGATATTTGATATTTATAATATTTAAAAAATTTTTTATTAAATAAAGTTAATTTTAAATTTTTTTAAAAAATATTTTTTAAATTTGTTATAAATAAAAAATATTCTTAAGATTATTTTTAAAATATTTTAGATAATCTTATTTTTATATTTTATTTAATTTAAGAATTTTTAATAAGATTTAAGTTTATATATTAAAATATCAATCTGTAATTTTTTAAAAGATAAATTATATATAGTATATATTTAAAATTTATATAAATTGTTTTTTTAAAAAAATTTATTTATAATTATATTATATAAATAAAAATTTTAAAAAGTTTTATTATATATTATATACTATATATATAATATATATGTTTTAAATAATTTTTGTTTGTTTTATTTTTATATATTAAAATTTAATAAGTAATATCATAACAAATATTTATAAATAAAATAAATTTTTAAATCAATTTATATTAAGATTTTATAATTAGTTATATTTTTTTAAAAAAAATTATAATTTAAAAAAAATTTGATTTAAAGTTTTCAAATTATAAAAAAAAATTTTTTAAATAGTTTATTTTTTTTTTTTGATTATATATATTTTTTTAATAATAAAAAACTTTTAAGTTTTATTTTTATTTTTAATTTAAAAACTTATTTTATTTATAAATATAAATATATATTTATTATATTCAATTATTAAAAAAAATTTTTTTAAAAGATAATTTTTTTAATTTATAATTGATATAAAATAAAAAATATATAAAATTTTGTACTATTTACAGTTTTATATTATAATTTTTTTTATACAGTATATTAAGCAAGTTAAAAAAACATTTGTTAAATTTTTATATATTAAAAAATATAGAAAACTTATTAAAAATTTTAAGTATATTGACTTTTTTTTATATATTTATTATATATATATATAGTATATTTATATTACACTTTGGAAAATATAATATAAAATTTAAAAACAATATTAAATTATATAGTAAAAAACCAGTATTATATAATATTTAATTAATTTAAATGAAAATATTCTTAGATTAATATTTATATAATTGATATATAATATATAAATATTTATATAATTAATATACAGTATATATATATTGACATATGCTATATAATATTTTTTTAAGAAAATAGTGCAATATTTAAAAAAAAATATTTTTTAATATCATATTTAATATTTTTGTAATAATAATTATTATTAATAATTTGCAAACTTTTTTTTTTTGAAATTTTTCAAATGCAAGTTGAATCAAAATTCTTGGATCATTGATATAATTTTAAAAAATTTTAAATTTTGTATTTATTTTTTTCAAAAAAAAAACAAAATAAATAAAATACTAAAAATTTCACGCATCAAGTAATTTATAAAATAAGTTTTTTTCTGCAATACAATTATAAATACTCGAAATATTATTTATAAAATCAAATATTATGATATTAATAATAAATATAATATTGATAAATATATCACCTTTACAAATAAATTAGTGCCACATGAAGGCATGAAAGTTACAATATATATTAAATAAAAGACACCGGTTAGAAGCAGATAAGGTTTGTACAATAAGTGTAAACATAAATTATTTGGGGGTTTTTCTTTTTTAAGTATGTACAAAAATCAAATTTCAGATTGTGCAATTGGTTTACGCCCACTCAAAGGTTCCTTCAATTTCTTTCAAAAGTTCAATGTCATCGATGTCATCGATTCTACCCAACTTTACTACACCTCTGTTGACGTACTTCTGAAATATATCATATTCCTCGTTGGAGAAGGCGTCGTCATTGCAAAAAAAAATCGAGAGTAGACCTAAATGTCTGCTAGCCCAATTCTCAAAAAATGATTCTAACGCTTCCGAGGAAAAGCACCAGTTCTCATCGTTACAATCAATCAATAATAATTTCAACGTGTCAGGCGCTTTGTTTGCTAGAATTTCAAAAAATCTTGACTGGTCTACTTGATCATCCAGGTGAAGTATTATGCCCTCCAGTTGTTTGCACGTTTCCAAAAAAACCTCAAAATCTTTTGGAAACACATTCATCAAATCCGATGTACAGAAAAATGAGCAGAACCTCAGGTTCGGACATTTCGACGTGATCAATCTGGTGTAGTTGATAAAGTCCTCCGATGGTTCAAATGTGAATATTGCTTCTAGAACGATTGAACGAAGTGTCTTTCCGGTTCTTGAGATGATATCGATATAGGTGTTGAAAGGAGTTATATCATCATGGAAAACATGTAAAATTTCAAGGTTTGGAAAATGACACGAATTTGACAATCCTGTCGACCAGATCTTAATTCCGTGTACCTTTAGGAATTTTAAGTTGGTAAAAGATTCTGGTTTGATGCAAAATCCATTTTTAAAGCTTAAGTGCGTTATGGAGCTTGATTTTGATATTAGAGCTGTTTCGACCAATGAGGTCCAAGTAGTAGCAATTTGGTTTCTTTTGTCAGTAACGCCTTCATGATATTCTAATTCCACGAATTTTAAACTTCTCTGAGATTGAATAAATTTCACCAGTCCTCTATTGTCCTCTAAGTAACGATTATACTTTCTGAGGATTAGTCTTTCGACGTTATGACATATCTCAGATAATTCTAAGAAGCGTACAGAATAAATCGAAGAGAAGAGCGATTCGTTTACATAATTTTTCATGTCTCCGTATTCAAATATTCTTAAGAATTCAAGACACCTGGTGAGACACGGGAATTTAATTAACGAGTATTTGGATAAAATCAGGTGATGAATATTTGGACAACTTGATATGAACAATTTGTAAAGTTCCTTTTCGACCAGGATTTCCAGATATTGATTGGTTCTTAGTCTACCATCATCGGCGACTTGTCTCCTCGTTTTCATCTCGCCATTATCAAGTATATTCCGTCGCATCGATTCAATTTGGAGAGGTGAAAGCTTTCGCCAATACTTTGGATAGTTGAATAAGGGTTTCTTTGGATAGAATGGCAATTGAATTCCGTTATACCTTAAAGTCTCACGGGCTTGTGGTGTCATACAAGAAATTATGGTACGTGTAATCAATGCACTCTTTTTATTATTGGCATCTTGAAAATAATAATCGTTTATAACAAATTTCCATAAATATGGAATAGCGACTTTGCACCATGAAGTATTTAACAGGATACATGAATGCAAGGAGTTTTGATCGTACTTGAGGAAATTTAGGATCTCGGAAATTATATCAAGGTTCAGAATTAAGCCCATGATCGTTATAAATTAAAATTACAAAAAGAAAAAAAATTTTCATTGAGGATTTATATGAATGTTGTCAGAAGAGGAAAGCACAAGTACAGCACGTAAACAGCTTTGTCTCCAAAAAACATTTGGAACATCATTGCCAAATTCTCCAATTCCCCGAAGCACGCCACATTTACATGTAGTGTCATGTGATATGTGACGTTGCAGGACTTTATACTTCAAATGCGAGAAATAAAGATTTCCATAAATTATAATCTTTATGCTGCGGAAGAGAGAAAACGCTCTAATGTTAAATGCGACGAAATGAAACGCGAAAAGGTTAAACGGAATTAATATTGGTTAACATCACGACGTCTTTAACAAAATGCATAAAAAATCCGAGTTTAGTAAGACAATTATTGTTTTTCGCGAGTGATATATTTTAGACGTGTGGATCATTGTCAAATGCTCAAAATAGTACACGAAACTCGTTACGAGTTCGTAACGGATCAGAAAAATTGCGACTCTATCCCAAAAGAATCCTTTCGAAGCTCTTATCACCAATTGATCAAATTTATTGTTATCTTTTTTTTTAATATTACGAACTCGTAAAGAGTTTCGTGTACTATTATTACAGATTAGTCTACAATGAAACCGACTTTGTCAACACAAAGCCTTTTCGTTTACATATGATCGTTCAACTCATGACAGATTTTTTACAACAACATCGACGATATTTCGTGTTTTCTAATAAAATTTGTAAACAATCAAAACAACCTCCTTCAATCATTCCCTCAAAACATGGTTTTAACAAACTTTATGGCAATTAGAACTAGATATGGAACCTTTCTATCAACTTGTTGAAATGTTTCGGATGTTACCGTGGTGGTGTTCTCTCGGAGATGCTGCAATTCCTACATTCGTAATTACTGACAGATGAGCAGGATAAGCAGCAAGTGGAAGTGGAAAACGAAAAATAAATTACCTCATGAATCGCTTTCCTAAGCACTCCGTTGGTAGTTATCAATATTGCTTGAGCTTCCAGGTCTCTCTCTGTTGACCTATATCCATAGTTTGACGATCCTACTATTGTCATGCTTGGCCATTGTTGCGCATTCATATAATACCACAAGCCTAGTGGGTAGAAAGGGGAGAGACATGTCAACGTCATACTAAATTCGACAATGCT